GGGGCGGGGGTGTTTATTGTTGGTGTAGCCCAAGCAGTACAAGAACATTTGTTTCATGAGAAATAAGAAACCAAGGACTTTTCCTCTCACGTCAAATAAATGCCGCAAACAACTTCTGAATAATACAAAACACTTAGGGCTCATCGCCATAGGTCAAGCAGTACAAGAACATTTGTTTTTTCCTCAATAAATAAGAAAGCAAAGACTTTTCTCAATAACTGCATCAAACAAGTAACCCCTCTTTTTTAAATAATAATATCAATCACTAAGGCAGGTTGTTTTCATGAATAACCCATTAAGAAACACTTTTTAAGGAAAAAACCAAGTAGGTTCATGTTTCAACATTTTTCCAAATAATAAGTACATGTTTAAGCAATTCTGGTTCTAGACAGAAAGTGGATTGATGACTGAGATATAGAAATTGGATCAACGACAACCATTCACACGAGGAAGGGTAGATGCAGACAAAATTTACCTCATTTAGCTTTTCCCATACCAAATCAGTCTGATTAATGTAACCTTGGTCCGTAGCCAAAAGAAAAAGTTCACCATTGAACTGTAAATGAGTTGAAAGACGGTTAATACTTGATACTTCGCAATATATATTCATGGAAAACAGAAAACAAAAGCTTTTGAAAAAGGCTTGTTCAAAAGAGGAATAGAAGCAATGTCAACAATTATGCATAAGAAAAGTGCAATAAAGTGAGACCTTAAACATGGTGCTGAAGTGATTATTACGGAAAAAAACACACAGCTCCCGTTCTTTAAGACCTTCTAGTAAGCAGAAAAGGCTGCAAAATCAAGAAAAATAATGAGAAGCAGACTTCATCGTACCCAGCACAGAACGAGATAAATTAAGAAAGAAATTGAGAATAAGAAAAGCTGTCAGTCCAAATACCCAGTGAAAGTCAATTGACTAGCATTGTACTTCAGAAAGTTCCTGATCAGTTCCCCTAAAGCCAATCAAAAGAGAGAAACTTGTTCAGAATAAAACTATTCCAAAAAAAAAAGAAGAAGAGCCAATTGGACGAGGTAATCAATCTTCAAACACCTCTTATTCAACAGCAAGATTTGCTAACCTGCTTGAGGAGTAATTGCATCCTTAGGCCTTGACTCTAAGGTGCTTTTGTCAGCTTGGTTAGCAAGAACCACTTCACCTTCATACACTGGTTCTCGGTCTTCAAAAACTGTAGTCCCTGAATCCAAAATACATTCCTCCCCTTCATATATCGGTTCACTTCCATCAACACTTGACGTCAAAGCTTCTGATGTATCAACATGCCGGCCACTGGAAGAATCTGAATGCAAATCTGCATTTGGCGCCAATAAACATGATAATTCTGATGAGTCACACTCATTTTTCTTATCTGAAAACTCATGAACATCAACCGTAGAATTGGACAGAATATCAATTTTTTCATTGCCTCGTGAAATATCTTCAAAGGGCCCCTCTAGAGATGCAGTGCTTCTCCCGGAAGAAAGAGAAACATAACTTTCTACCTGGACCAGCGCATCAATACTGCTTTTCTGAACCGAATCAATGCCAGGAGCATGCCCATCTGATTCCACATAATTTGGTAGATCGAGATTATTTCCTTCATTAGCCTTTGGCGAAGAATATTTTCCTTTTTCTGGAGTACTTTGAAAAAGCATCACATCATTACTACCACTCCTGGAGGCATTGCAATCATCTGATGTGGATAAGTCTGGCTTATGGAAATTACTATTTTCTAAAGTATACTTCTCTGACGTATCTACAGGACCTACGGGGAAAACCTTTTTGGGATATGGACTCTCATCTGAACTGATAAGCTCCGGCCGTTTATTTATATCAGCTACAATGGGATCACCTAATGAAGAAGGCCATTCAGCCTCAGACAACTTCAAAGCTCTCAACAACTCTGTTTCTTCTTCAAGGTCTCCTTTTCTTGCATTTTGGTGCTCAAAGTCCAAATGTGGAGAATCATCAAAAGATCTAGCTTTTGAAAGGCTTGGAGAAGGGACGCCTAAAGTTGCAGTTGTTGCAGCAGCAAAATCAACACAATCTTCTTCAGATACATTCCTATATTGATGCTCATCTTGTGTGTCCAATGCAACAAGCTCCTCCACAAGAGCATTATAGGACTTTGATCCGATTGCATTGGCAGGTTCCTTGTCCTGGTAAAGATACATAATGTGAACTTATCAAACCAAAAGACCATAAAGTAAAAAAAAAAAAACCAGCACATTCAATACACTAAAAGTGGAATTTAAAAGGGATAAAGAAAAAGAAAAAAAAAAGTCAGAGAACGGGAAAGTAAGTAATGGGTAATCAAAAGGCATACTTATACTTAAATGCACTTTTCAATATCAGATAACTGCCCCTTAAAAAGCACACATATGCGAATTAATAACAAAATAACTTTATATACTAAATATTGGCACTAGAAAACAAAATATCCGTTGGATGTTCTTGTTCATATAAAAATAAAATAAAAAATAAATAAAATAAAAAAACCATAATATAGACCAGAAATATAACTGAAAAGAGGGAATTATTGACCTCCAAAAGTATGCAGTTTATTATCCACAAGCATCAATTCAGTTATAGAATACGTTCTTAGAACTACTTTTGAGAAATAAAAGAGCAAACCTCGGGATCAACTATCCAACCATGATACAGTGGAATGTCCAACAAATCAAAAATAGCACATTCTGGAGTAAACTCGAAATCATCTATTCTGCAAACCATCGCATAAAGCTCAATTAGAACTAGGAAATAGCCAATTACAAGTAGTGATAAATTAAAAAACGGAAACATATATAACCTCCTGAATTTTATATTTACATCGATCCCAGTTGCAAGTCGGGGGAGCAGATCAATGGCATCGGAAATGTTCTGCTGTTGATTCTCAACATAACCTTCATCCTTATTCTAGAACAAGATAACAGTGAAAATAGTTAACTTACATAAACAGCTAGAGAAAATTGAGACCCCAAGGTGACAAAAAGATCAAGTTACTACATTGAAATCACTATTTGAATCAATTAGTCGTTCGGCAACAAGAGAAAGTAATTTCTCCTGAGAAACTTCAGTTGTATCCGGGCTCAAATTCAAGTTGTTCCTGAGCAGAAGAACATTACCTGTACGGACACCAAATGCAGAGCATTAAAACAAGATGATTGCTTTCCCAATAACAAATTGCTAAAAAGACCCAATCAATATTAAACCTACATAAATATATCAAAACAGAATCACAACCCCCAATCCAGCACACCATGATACAGAAATAGACAACAAAGTCTAATATGCAGTAGAGTCTCCTTTCATAAGAAAACAAAGCACATTTGACTTAGTAGCCAGGAAATTAGTCTTCTATGTTAGTTTTAACTTTCTCAAATTCAAAAAAGTTTCAGCTTTCTCGGTATTACTTTCATAATACAAAATCAACGTAAAAAAGAAAGCACCAAAAGAAAATTTAAAAAAAAACGAATAGAAGAGTTTTCTAAATTCAAACGGATTAAAAACGCCACCAGGCAATATTTGAATCTATCGAATTGCGGCGAAAGACTACAAATGAAAGAATTCCTCGCGTAATCAACGACTCCAAATCACTATATGAAACTTTCTGTTGACAAGAAAGAACAAGATTCCGAATCTTCCATTTCAATCACCACCAATCCAATTACAACGCCTAAATTGAACCATTTCTCCACTCTTGTGGACGCGAAACAAAACCTAAAAGTCGCGAAAGCTCCAATTCCTCAATCTCCTACAACGCCGGCGGAAACCTAAGCGAACCGAACGCGAAACGAAACGAAAACGATAAACCGAAACCCTAGCAATAGCGAGAAAGAGAGAGAGGAAAGATTACATATAGCGAGGAGCGGGCAAGGGCCATTGTCGTTTTGGAGGACGATAGGCGTCGTTCGGCCCAGGAACTGGATTAGCTTGGTCTTGTGGACGCACTCCTTCACCGCCGGCAGCGGCGACGGAGGAGACGGCGGTTCTTGCTGCTGTTCGTGCCTCTGTTCTTCCGACGAAGACGCCATGGGAGATTGGTAGGGAAATCGCGAGCTTTGATCAGCACCACCACCACCTTTTCTTTCGTTTATTTTTTTAGAGAGAGAGAGAGAGAAGTAAAGTGCGGGATGTTAGAGCGTTAAATAGGTTGGTTAATTTCCCTCATTTCGTGCGAAGGAAACGCCAATGTGAATAAATTTTTTTTTTTTTTTTCCTCTCTACCGTTTTTTTTTTTTTTTAGGACTTTGTGCTTTTTGTGATTTATTGGAAAATAATTTTTCCTTTTCTAAAAAGGATTTATTACAAGAGAATTATGTTGAGCAGAAGAAGAAAAAAAGGATTCGGAGCCTTTTTTTTTTTTTTTCCTTTTTGTTTCTATTTTTCTTTCCAAGTTTGATGTAAGATTGGATAATGACTTGTGTTTTTTTATTTAGCAAAAAAATGACTTGTGTTTGAACACGTGAAGGATCATTTTTTTTTTCTTTTAAATCGCAAGTTAGGAAACATGCATGATCCTATTTCCATCAAAACATAACATATAGGGAATCTAATTTTATCTAAAAGACATATGCCCTTCACTAGTTATAGCATAAATATTTTTTCTTTTTTTCTTTTTTCAGAGAAAAAACATAAATTTTATCTTTCAAGAACAAACCACGTTCTTGCTATTTATTAATCTGAGTAATCAACAAAATAATCCTTTTTTTGAAAGGGTATTCTTATTGAGCCCTTCTGTAGTTAAACCTGAATTGGTTGAAATGATAATGTCAATAAACTTCAAACATTCAATTTCATATATATATATATATACGTAACAAAAACAATTGCCGAATGTAATTAATAGCCTAATCCTCCAAATCAATTGATAATTAAACTTTAAGAAGAGTGGTTGTTTACATATTCATGACATTGAGTAAATGGACACATATCAATTGTCCTCTATGAAACTATGTCTAAATCATTATTGTTGGGTTAAGTAGGTAACTTAAAAAAAAAAAAAAAGGGTAAGAATACTTGTTTTTTTTTTTTTTTTTTTTTTTTATAAATTGTAGTGTGTTAGTATGCTTTTCTTTTTTTGTAATTAATTTGAGGGACGTTAGTATACTATTTTGCATAATATCATCTACTAGTAACGTAAAAGAGGCCATTCTTTCTCATTTAAAATACCAAAATATAAACAATGCACTTAGAGCAATGTCAACGACTCAAAAGTTGGCACAAAGTTGAGATTTAGGCTTCATTCACTTCGCGGATTCAAGTTTTCAATTCGAACTGATATGTGACATTTTTTAAGAGCTTTTCACTGTAACAAAAAAAGTTAGATGTGACATTTTCTGAGAGTTTTTTACTGTAATTTGTTCTTTCTTTAATACCTCACTCTTTTATGCAAAAACAGGTTATTTTCTTAGGCTGTTTTCATTTCCCTTCGTCTTTTTTTATGGGATAACATTATGGAATAAGAATCTTACAATTTTGAATATGTCATTCTTATTTATTTGAGAAAACATATTCTAATATAATGTCAAAACGATTCTATTAAATACTCTCTAAAGATGTCCGGTCATATTTGTCGAGAAGAAAAAAAAAATTGTTAGGATATTTGTAATACTCTATCAAGATTTTATGGTGAATTGAGTAATATAAATGTTAAGTTTATGTCATTCGGTGTCATTAAAAAAAATAAAAATAAAAAACATCTTTTGAGTGATACACATGTGATATGTAATATGTAATGTAAAGCTTGAGGTGTGTAGATATTTATTTTAACAACATTAGTTCAGTTATCAAAGTTATTGTTGTATAATTTCAGCAATTAAATCATTTTATCACATAAAATAAACGTTGTGTTATTAAGTTGGGATGATCCTACTAAAAAAGCGATAGAAAAAAGTCCGAAAATATGCCAATATAAAAAGTTTAAGAAAGTATATAGGCTAATTTTTAGTCATAGAAATTAATAGGTTATAATTTGTCAAGTTATGGTTCATAATCAGATAAGTTATGGACAAACTTGTCAAGTTATGGTTTATAGCCAGACAAGTTATGAACAAAAATCGTGAATTATGGACAATAACTTGTCAAGTTATGGTTCATAACTAGACAAGTTATGGACAAAAACAGTAATTTAGCCTATTTATTAACTTATATAAACTATTGATCTATTAATTTTAATTTATCTCAAATCTTGACATATTTCCATCTTTTTCCCCAGAAAGTCCCTCAATGAAGTTACAATCAACCTACAGTTGTAGGTAATTTCACAGGTCGCTTCATAATAATGTCAAGTTCAAATCTCTGGCCCAAGTCCAACAAATCACGATCCACTAACCATTTGGGCCGAAGAGGTTGACTGCCACGCCATAATCATGAGAATTGAAAACTCCATTATCGCCCGCGTGTAGAAACAAGAGAGAATGAGAACAACATGCTAAGAGGCCAAGACGAAAAGCTTAAAAGCCTTATTCATCGGCTGGGCTTACTGGATTTCCTAGCTGGGCTTCTAGTTGGTCTGCTTGGGCCATCGGGTAGAGTGATCGTTATTCGGCAAGGAAAAAATACCTCCTATAATGCATAGGTGTTATTTTTATATCTTACATTTGATTAATATACAGTTAAAAGAATTATATTAGTTAAAAAATGTATAATTAAGAGTAAAAGGTAAAATTTTTAGAACAATAAATTTAAAAAATGAGTTTGCCAATTTTCTTAAGGAAAAAAAAAGCACAGGAGAAAGACTACAAATATATTTTAAGGTGTATGAGTTTAGATTTTTACTCTTTACTTTTAAATATTCTTTTATTAATATAATTATTTGACTAAAAATGATATTACTTAAAAGTAAAGGATAAAATTTCACACTCGGACACTCTAAGGGTAAGTTCAATAATTTTATTTGGAGAAAAAACTGATCTAGCCTATAAATTATTTATAACTCATTTCCTGAACTCCAATTTCCAGCAACAGAAAAAGGGGAATAAATCCTGTCAGATACTTATAGTGCAAAAATAGGCATCCCAAAATAAATAAAACTAAAGGGCTTGTGTTAGTTATGTTTATCTTCTAAAATTTCAGTAGTTAAAGAATTAGGAAATTAGAAGGATTCCGTGTAGCATATATATTGAAACAAAGTACCTTACTGAAATTATATTACTTAATACTATCATATTATGTTACAATATATTACAATTAAAAGTATTAAATTTAACAAGATTTGATGAAAATCTGAGCAATTTATGAGTATGTAACACTAGAAAGAATAACCTTTTAATCTCACCACATAAATTTTTTTTTTTAAAATTACTGTAACTATTTTTTTATTTATTTCAAACTTTGAATTGACATAATATTTGTTCTTTTTTAGAAGTATTTTTATGAGAGAATGAAATAAATACCATATTAGTACTGCGTTGTTTTATATCATTACATATTCATCAATGTGTTGCTGTTTTGTATTTTTTTTTTACTCCACCGACCTTCAAAAATATCAATTTCGACAGAGATGTTCTCTAGTAAAAGTACCCTAATTTATTTTTCCTGAATAAAGGAGCTTTGGTGCAAGAAATGGTGGTTTTCTTTTTTTCATGTTTGTGCCGGTCTTCATTGATATATGTGCCATTTTTTTTTTTTGCTAGAAATATGTAAATATATCTTATATTTTAAGGAGACGTTTATTTTCTATATTCATCTTTTATTTTAAATTATAATTCATGATTTTTTACAGTATTTTTTTATATAAAATACACGTAAAATAAAAATAATTTTAAATTATAATTTTAAATACATAAACTAAACGTTTTTTTTTTAGGTATTATAAAAATGCAATGATACCCAAACGAATTAATAGAAACAAATACATTTTCATCAAGTCCAACATCAATCAATCGAAAAATAGATAAATAAAGTTCACGTCGGTCCACTAATAAAAAAAAGGAGTGGTTATGAGGGACCACAAAAGAAACTGTGTATAAACCAATATTAAATAACTGGTTCACAAGAATATTGATTGGATGTGAACAAAAGAGTAACATTACTTTAATCTTAAAGGAGGACCACAAAAAAGGCAAAACAAAAAAAATGGATCACAGAATCATAAAGGCACGTGGAAATTTGAATCACAACTGTCTTGTTAGTTGCTTGCATTTCTCAATTTTGATTTTTTTTTTTTTTTTTTTTTTGGTTTTTACCTTGATGATATTTAGGTAAATATACACGTCACTCCACCTTGTCATGCACTATTATAATAATAATAATTATTATTATTGAGAATGACATCATGCATTGTCAGAGGGTATCTTGTACATAAAAACTTTCCCATCAATTAATACAGATTAAATGGTTAGCAAATTTTTCTAATTCTCATTATGAAAGTGGGTTGATTATACATATTCTTTAATATTATAACATTATAGGACATATATTCTTTTCTTGTTTATTGGTCCATAAATGCTAGCTAGGTTCAAACAGAGAAACAGGGATATTGTACCATATATAGCTAGCTACTAAATAAGGCAATGCCAACCTTAGTGGATACCCAGTAAAGTCGTTGAAAAAGTGCACTTTTTCTCCCATCTACTGAATTTTATTAATAATATAACGAGAATAATAAAATAATTTGAAACGAAAAGGAAGACGTGCAAGGGTTGAAAATGTTATCATGACTGTATATATTCTATTATAAAAATAAAATAAATAAGTTCTCGTGGCTAAATATCTTCCTCCAATTATCACAACCTTTTCTTCTTTGTTTCTTAGTCAATTAATAAAGAGTGCGTTTGGTTGGTAAATTTATGTCATGATTCGGATCATGATTCATGACTCGATACAGTATTTTTTTTCATAAAAAATACACGTAAATTGAGAATGATTCTGAATCATGATTCTAAATTCATAAACTAAAAGCTTTTCTTTTTTATTGAAAAATAAGTAATTAAACATGTATTAAAATCTTTTTTTTTTCATGCAATATATCCAAAAAAAAAAAAAAAGTATGCTAAGAAATAAATTTGTGATTTTTGTTTTTCGCTTGAAAAAAGAAAAAATCTCAAGTTGAAGTTTGCAGACAAACTCATTATGGGATTTGATTAAAAACTTTCGTCTCTTTTCGATAAGGTGAAACATGTAGTAGTGGAAAATAGTTAAGTGTTTTTCATAGCACGCCAAAGCTTTTGAATAAGAGCGAAGAGAGCAACCATTGTGGTCCCTTCTTCCAATCCTTTTCACTCTGCTATCCACGTTCATGTAACATCACAAAGGAAAAATAAATAAAATAATATTAAATTTATTCATTCGAAAACACAAAATTAAGACTAAGGTCCCGTTTATTTTACCGATTCAAATTTAAAATTTGAGTTTTGTTATAGTAAAAAAATTACTTTTTTACTACAGTATAAAGCTCTCACATAAAATCACATCTCAATTCAAATTAAAAATTCAAATCAACGAACTAAACGACCCTAAAACTTAAAATTGTTATTCACCACAAGTTTCTTCTCTTCCCGTTTTCCTCTTTTATTTCTCCAATAACATAACATAATAGTGCGTGGTACTATATATATACATACACATATACATACATACAAACAACACTACGGATAAAGGCGAAGGACTTCAGATAGTAATAGATCTCAAAGCATTAAATTGATGAACAGTAGAGTATGAAACGTCCATATGCATGTTCATACTGCCTGTAGCAGAATATCGGAAGAGAAACCAAAAAGACATTTTCAAAATGATTTTATTTTGAGTATAAAAGTAAAAATGAAATTATTTTGAGAATAATTTTATAAGCGATTTTGAAATTACGTTTAGTTAGTTTTTTAAGAGATTATTTTAAGTATAATAAAAAAGTGAAATCATGTTTAGTTATAGTATTAACTAATATATTATAATATTATTGATAAGTACTAGAAAATGAAAACAGAAAATAGAAAATAATTTTCAACCATTTTGTAATTCATTCACAAAAATCATTCTCACTGTTTTTTTATTTTTATTTTCGTTTCCAAAATATTTACTAGACAAACACAGTTTGCAAATCATTTTCATTTCCGTATCTTAAAAGACGTGCATAAATGTTTTTAAAACAATTTAAAATCAATTCCAAACGAGTCAAGTTCACTTGTTGGCTTTGAATTGCAAGGGTAAGCTCACTTTAGCCAGTGGAAATTGCATGTTCTTTTGTCCAAAAAACTCAAAAAAAAAACAACTCAAGTTTCAATTTTATTCAAGTTAACGTTATTTTAAGCTTCAATTTTATTCAACTTCACTCAACTTTGTTCAAGTTACAACTTCAACTCAAGTTATAACTCAAATTTAACTCAAAAACTACACTCAAGTTACACTCTAAAAGAACAACCCTAATTTTTATATGCCCGTTAACTTAATTATGCGAGCTAAAGAGATCTTCTAATAGTTAAATTATTGTTTCTTTTTTTTTCAACAAAGATAGGACAAAATTACCGTTGTGAATAAATTCTTCTTAACTATAGGTGTGGTCTCACTTTGATCATCAAATTGTATTTTGCAATCGACGATTTTACCTTTAACGCTCAAGGCATATGAACACTGGGGTGTAACATTAATTATTTTCAAAATGAGATTCCCTTTTAACTTGAGCCTGAGGGCGTAAATGAAAACTAAAAAATAAGTTGTTTTGCTCAAGCCTTTTATTTCTTGGAGAATTATTTGGTAAAGGATCGACCAACTTTTGCTCAGTTCTAAATCTTCAGATTTTTTTTTATATTTTCTTCAAATTTATGTTGTGTTTTTTGCTAAACACTATTTTTAGGTTTGTGACACTGTAATCCTAATAATTTCGCTATTTGGTGACAACTGAACATAAAATAACAATAATCTCTTGAATTAATAAGTCGCTACAATGTAACCCTCTTTAAATTGGTGATGGAAACACCTATATGCACCTCACGTTTTTGTCATTTTATCCTCTTGGCTTTTTTCGTAATTTGTGGTAATGGTCCTCTCGCCTTTAAATTTAGTAAAATATATCCTCTAATTTTTTTAAAAAAATAGAAAATTTACTTTTAAGAATGTATGAGTCTGGATATTTATCATTTATTCTTAATAAATATCCTTTTATTAGTGTAATTATTTAACTAAAAAGATTATGAATTAAGAGTAAAATGTAAAAATCTTGACTCATGCACTCTCAAAAGATATTTGTCAAGATTACTTATTTTCATCATAGACTCACAAATATAATTTGATGTCATTAATTAGAGTCACATTTTTAGAGCTTGTTTAGGATAACTTGTGTTTGTACTTTTAAGCAGTAGAAAAAGATTAGCATAAATTGAGACTTTTTTTATTAGTGTTTAGATAATAGTTGAAAAAGTACTTTTGATAAGAAGAGCTTTAAACCTATTTTGATAAAAAAAGTCAAAAATAATAATTATTATAAAAAGTAATGTAATAAAAAAATATGAATGAGATATTTAATTTATTATTCACAAATAAAAAGTTAAAAATATAAATGAAGAAGTTTTTTATAATCTTTTTTCATAAATATTAAAGATATGACTTGTTCTAAAAAAATTTTAAAAAATTAAAAATGTTTTAAGATTATCTATCCAAACAAGTTAAAAAACGGTTTTTAAATAAATATTTTGCATAGGAGGTAATAAAAGTACCAAAAAACTTGTATGTATGTATCCTTCTCCCTAATTTTCATTATTATTATTTTTTATAAAGAACCCACCAAACAAGGCGGAGCCACGTGACAGGGTCCAATTGAATAACTCCGAGCAGTGACGTGAATGAAGGTGATTGGGCCAGCACTGACTATATTGTACGGAATCCACAGATGTGTTCCAATCCCTCGTACGGACAAACCAATTCTTTTTTCTTTCCTTTTTTATAAAACCCAAAAAAATATAAAAATAAAAAATAAAAATCCCAATAGTTGGAACTTCTTTTACATTGCCCAATGAGTTCTCCAAATTTCCCTGCAACCTTTGGCCCCTAAAACAACTGGCAACCGACAGGAATGTTTGGTGTCTTTCACCTCACCCAACTGTCTGCTACCCCAGCGGTCACCGGCCTCACTGGTTGTCAGTCTGTCCCCAGCACGTGTCATCACGTGGACTCATAGCATCGATTTCTCGTGCATCCAAATCAAACATCACTTTTTTGAAAAAAAAAATTTGAACTTTTTTTATTTTTTATTTTTCTAGCATCGGACGAAGTAATAATGGCTTCACATGTTTTAGCTTTTATTCGTCTGAATTTCTTTTTATGGGAGGTGTCTATTTTTTTCCCGAGTATTTACCAAAAACAGAAAGAGATTAGGTTCTTGACTTGCTTGACTTTCTGATTTTTCTATCATAATTTACCACTTATATATCCATCTAGGGTTACTAGTCTTAGCCTTTTTTTTTTTCTTCCCTGCCCCAAAAAGAAAAAAAAAAATTCCACAAAACTAGGCCAATAAATATTCAATCAAACCCCCATCTTCTTCCTCATCTTTGAATTTCCTCTCTCTGAAAATGTTTTCCTAGTACTGTTTTTCCTTTCCTAAGATCTTCTTCTTCTTCTTCTTCCATACCTAGGAAAACCAGGAAAAAAAAAAAAAATTTCCCTTTGTGTGTCGTTTTGTATCCTTTTTCTATTTTTGGAAACTTTCAACTGGGTGATCTCCTAAATTTGCATATCTATTGTTTTCCAAGCTCCTGATCTGGATCAACTACTTTTCTTTTCTTCTTCAGTCAGTTTTTTTCCACCAAAATTTCCCTGAAATTAATCACCTCCCTCGATTCCGGTTTTTTTTTTTTTTTTTTTTTTTTTTTTTTTTTTTTTCTAATTCCCTTTAATTTGTACTTGGAGTTATAAGCTATATATATACATATATATTATTTCCTTGGACGGTGCAAATTAAAGAGAAGAAAAATATGGTTAGAGGAAAAACTCAGATGAAGCGAATAGAAAATGCCGCGAGCAGGCAAGTGACATTTTCAAAGCGCAGAAATGGGCTTCTGAAGAAAGCCTTTGAATTGTCGGTTCTCTGTGATGCTGAAGTTGCACTTGTGATTTTCTCTCCAAGAGGAAAGCTCTATGAGTTCGCCAGTAGTTCTAGGTACGTTTTTTTTTTTTTCTCTCGTTTTTTTTCCCCCTTTCCGTAAATAATTATAAATCTCGTTATTTCTTGCAAAACCCTTGATTTTGTTTCTTCGTTTTGGACAGTTTTATGAACTGGGTAATGTGGTAAATTTTCCTTTTATTGGTGATCATAAAAAGCTGGTTCTTGTTTTGTACGATGGTGCTCCCCAGTGTATTAGATATATATATATATATATATATATAGCTAGGGTCAGTAGTACTATAACCTCAGGCTTTAGGCAAGGGTTCTCATGATATTTCTGTTTCCTTTTTTATTTTTATTTTTTTCTCTCCTTTTCAGTAATCCAAATATAAACTTCTGATTTTCTTTTAGGACTGATCTTGTTGCTCTTGTAATGAATCTCATAAACTAGGTTTAATTGGGGTTTCCGATTAGATAATCTTTCATTCACAGTATAATGGCCTGTGGTAAATCTTGATAGAGGGGGGAGAGAGAGAGAGCTTAACAACAACCAATTTGGTTAGGTTTGTTGAGAGAAAAAGGGAAAAAAAGTACATCTAAATAGAAACTGCATCATAAATTGTACATATACACACAGCACAATTTGAGGAAATTAAAACAGTTTTTTTGGTATATGTATATGTGTTCTTTAGAATAGCATGAAGCCATAAATGAAACCAAAAACCAAAGTGTACTAATTTAAAGAAATATGAAATGTGAAATGTAAATTTTATTTATTGTGTATCATTCAACATAAATCTATACTTAACTAGATCTTAATCGAAATGCCAAGAAAGGTATATGGTTTATTAACAAATATAAGTAACTTAAAAGTACGATTAATAGCTGACACAGTTATTAGCTTGGAATCTTGTTCACTGTTTTTAGAGGGACCTCTGAGAAAGAGACTGCTGAGGTAGTACTTGTGTGTTCTTATAAAAAGGGTTTTCTTGTTTTGTACGATGGCTCCCCACAGTGTATTAGATATATATATATATATATATATAGCTAGGGTCAGTAGTACTATAACCTCAGGCTTTAGGCAAGGGTTCTCATGATATTTCTGTTTCCTTTTTTATTTTTATTTTTTTCTCTCCTTTTCAGTAATCCAAATATAAACTTCTGATTTTCTTTTAGGACTGATCTTGTTGCTCTTGTAATGAATCTCATAAACTAGGTTTAATTGGGGTTTCCGATTAGATAATCTTTCATTCACAGTATAATGGCCTGTGGTAAATCTTGATAGAGGGGGGAGAGAGAGAGAGCTTAACAACAACCAATTTGGTTAGGTTTGTTGAGAGAAAAAGGGAAAAAAAGTACATCTAAATAGAAACTGCATCATAAATTGTACATATACACACAGCACAATTTGAGGAAATTAAAACAGTTTTTTTGGTATATGTATATGTGTTCTTTAGAATAGCATGAAGCCATAAATGAAACCAAAAACCAAAGTGTACTAATTTAAAGAAATATGAAATGTGAAATGTAAATTTTATTTATTGTGTATCATTCAACATAAATCTATACTTAACTAGATCTTAATCGAAATGCCAAGAAAGGTATATGGTTTATTAACAAATATAAGTAACTTAAAAGTACGATTAATAGCTGACACAGTTATTAGCTTGGAATCTTGTTCACTGTTTTTAGAGGGACCTCTGAGAAAGAGACTGCTGAGGTAGTACTTGTGTGTTCTTAATATTATGCTAAAAATAATGCTATTTGATCTGACCTCCACCAGTTATTTTTTAAAGTGATTATTATGAAAAGAAGTGTGCATTTTTCCCAAGGCGATCTTCCCTCTTAGCTTATATTAGTAGGAGTTTAATGACTTTGTTGTTTGTGTAAGATGCTATTAGTGTGTCTGATTCTTTGAGCTGGTAATGTAATGGATAATATTATTCAATTACTCCGGATGCTCTTAAATTAACACGTGACTTTCAAGCCTTATCACTGCAAATTTGCTTACAATTCCAGAATAGATTCAAGACATATTTAGGACCGGAAAAGAATGTTTGGTATTTAGCTCTATGAGTTTATTAATGCCTATGATCAAGGCTACACAAGTATTCTCCTTAATTTTTGTTTTTTATTTTTCAAATGCTTTAGAGTATTTGCTCTTTTGTAAATCAAAGTAAGCAATAAAATAAATCACATATATTGCATGTTTTATATCTCAAGATACTTAGCTAGCGAGCTTAATTGAAATGATTCATCACCCTATAGAGTGAAAAGAGAAACAAAAAAGCATTCTTCTTTGACCACATTGAAAAGATTAGGAACAAAGTTTTATCACGGATGGATCTTAGCAATTAGACAAGCATGTACTATATTGTTTGATTATACACTAGTCTTTATCTCTAAAAAAGAGAATTGCAAAATAAATCACAAACATGTACATATATTCCTTTCAAACTAGGATGTTGACTCTTATGAATATTATTTTATGCCTCAGCTTCCTTTTCAAGGAGAAATAAGAGCGAATATTATTTTCGTATATAAGTAAGGAACCACCTTTTTGTTGGAATATCACTTAACACATCTTAGTTATTATTTTTGAGAACATATACTCTTGTTCCTAAGTTTGAGCGTTGCATGTTGATATAGTTTTATCATGTTATTACTTAAATGTCCAGACTTATTAAGGGCAGATTACATTTCTTAATCAGCGACTTATATGATTGTTTGAGAGATTGTACAAAGTTTGGATGGCAACATAAAAATAAAAAGAAATTTATATTAAATTCTGGTCTTCATAATGAGCCAATTATCTCATGCTTGATATAAACTTTATGTAGGAGAAGTCTGTATCAGTATTCCTCTGGATATAAAGGTTGGGAATTTCTCTCCTCAACGTGATAGCATATAGGGATCTCAAAAGCCAGTTTTCATGGTTTCTTATTCATATATATTTTTCCAAATAAATTCACAAAAGTATTGCAATCTGCATATACTCAACGTAGCGTGATATGACAATTGATGAGAAACAAAAGATGAACTAAAATTAATCTAAGAGAAAAAGCAAACTCTACTTTTGATTAATTCAACGGTCAAAACATAACTTTTTTGGACTAATTGTTTCTTAAATTTGTTTTCAAACGTATCTTTATATGTTCCAATCACGCAAATCAAAACTAGCTAGAAGTAATTTTCTCAAAAGAGTAATGTTAGGGACACTTAACTCTAATTTCAACTCTTGCATACTAACTGATGTGACATGTACTAAGTTGTCATATTTTTATTGGTAAATGCAATCTCTTATCATTAATTAACGTGGCAATTATCCACCAGTATAAAAATGACAACTTATATGCTACATTAGATGGTACACAAGAGTTGAGCTTAGAGTTGGTGTCCATACATTATTCTTTCTCAAATTACACATATAGGTATGTACTTGTAGACACTGACGATTTTCTTAAAATATTGATAGAATGCTCAGTTGGTAAACTTGGTAGTTTTTCCGAGTGGAAAAACTTATTCACACCGTGATAGTAAGCTATAATATCATGGTACAAACTCTTCTCAAGAGATGAGGAAAAAAAAAGGTCCTCACTTGTTATATATCGAGATTACCATGTTTGTATATGTATTATGCATACATCCATATGTATGGATAATTATATATATGTATATATATACATATAAACTGAAAGCAAATATGCAGAAGGTACGTATTAATTGATGACTACATACGTACTAATCCTTCCAAGCATATAATAGGTCTTTCGTTTTTTTATTTTTTCGTATGGCTTGGTGCGAAGAAAGAGAGCTGTCAGATAGTCTAGTCTTTAGTCTCTTGTATATTGATCTCAACTAAGAGCCTTTAAGATCGGTAATTTTTAAGTTCTTTAAAGGAAGATAATAAGTAAGACCACGCGAAGTTTGTAGCCTATATATATATATATATATATATCCGAGAGTGATAGCGATAAAAGACCAAGCGTTGGAGGACGGCATTTGATGGTAGAGACACTTTGCACAAGAGAGAAGTTTATATTGTTGGTGTTATAAAAAAAGGGAAAAACACACACAAAATATAAAGGCATCATTATTTGGATCTTCAATGAAAGTCATTAAAAAGGATTACTCGAGGCATCTCTTGATCATGAAGTTAAATAGTAAACCTATTTGAGGGATCTTAGGAGCATGAGTTGAAACATTACTTGGAAGTAGGTGCCAACTTTAAACCATAGTGGATTTCTTAATTACTACCTTATTTCTTTTTAGGATTTCTTCAGAATTCACGAAAGTCATTTGATAGTTAGCTTGGTCACAAGGTCACATGTTGGAGCAATGTTCAACTCACAATATTCTAAATTAGGTCGTAATTGGTTGGTCAATTGGTGATAAATTTCGTGGAGCACTTAAAATGTTGTTTCTAATCATCGTTCCTGGTCATTTTAATTAAGAGAAACAGTGAGAAAAAGTTTTAGGGCTCGTTTGATCCGTGGTTTTGAGTTGTGTAGTTTGGAATTGAAATTTCTCTAAATCCAATTTCTATAGATTTAAACATCACATCAGATTTTAAAACTACTTCAGTCAATGCACATCCAAACAGTAGTTTGAATTAAGCTCATGATTCAAACCACGTGAACCCACGAAATGAACATGTCTTTAAACTCTATTGAAGTGATTTAACTATGCCAATTATCATGAAAGTACGTGTAAATCAAGTTTGAAAGAGAACAAGGAAGTTGATGTCAAAGGCTAAATTAGGGCAACGATGAAGATGGCAACTTGCAGAGGCCAAAGCATGAAGATGTTACAGACATTGGTTGTACTTTGGTGAGACCATAGATCAATGAAAAACATATTCTTAGGCCTCAATCATTTCACCGATTCAAATTTAGCATTCAAGTTTTGTTACAGTAAAAAGCTCTTAGAAACAGTCATATATAACTTTTTTGCTACAGTAAAAAGTTCTCACGTAAAGTCACATCTCAACTCAAATTAAAAACTCGAATCAGCGAACTAAATGGACCCTTAGTCTATCAATAAGAGTTCTTGTCCAATGCAAAGTATGGATCATCGAGAATGATGGTGGTGGCATATGGAAGCGGAACTTTTGTGCATAGGATCAATTTTGGTGACAATGAGCGGTGGACTCATCAGGGTTTTGCATATCTATAGTTCCACACTAGACGCATAGCGGTAGTGAGAGGTGGTTCGTGAAGAGGTGCTCGAGCGTCATTTTAGGACAGTCAATGATGAACAACGATGGAAATAAAGAAGTCAAAAACATGTATATAGTGAGGACAATGACATTAAATGAGGGCGGCAGGAAAAGTGATACGATAAGAGTTTGTAGAACTTCAAAGATCTTAAGATTTTTTCTTTTGATAACTGTTAGGATTTTATCATGTATATAGTGAGGACAATGACATTAAATGAGGGCGGTAGGAAAAGTGATACGATAAGAGTTTGTAGAACAAGATCTTAAGATTTTTTTCTTTTGATAACTGTTAGGATTTTATTAGTTGGCGTGTTTTAGAACTTGGATGTAAAAATACAAACATACGTACAATCGACAATTGGCACTTTTGAGCAAATCATAAAGAGATTTTGTTTGATTAATTGTTCTATATTTGCAATGTTTTGAAGAAGGAAAGCAGACTTGGTGAAGGCAATGTCAAGAAGATTTGAGGAAATTTGATTGCTATATGAAATTATGGTGATATCTGCAGATTTGATATGAGAATTATTTGAGGGAAGAATATTATATTGATTGATTTAATGGGTTGATAGTATTTTGAGTATGCGAGGAATTGATTATTGGAGACTTACCTTGCATGGTGTGAACGTGAAAGTGCAAGCAAAAGGCAAGCTTGGAAATGCAGGCTTGGATGTGTAATTCCTCTTGAAAGTATCATTGCTTTATCCGAATTATATCTAAAGCAATCTTGAAGATTAGTTTTTGAAAGAGCAGGTTTTGTAGAAATAATATGCAATCCGTTTTAGGAGATTATGTACGTGGTTGGATTTGATTTTGAATATATATCCTTGAGATTACTGGCCTTTATCTCTTGGTTTTAATATATGTCCTTTAAAGTCCAAATTGTATTGGACTTTCCAAAAAGACCAAGAGACAGATGACTACCATCTATATATTCATGGGATATATACGTGAATGGTGTGTGCTTTTGAAAGAAAATATTAAGCTTTTATGTTTTAAGGTTTTAATGTAATTGAAGGTTATATTTAGGGCAATGGGTTTTATAGAGATAATTTCAAAAAAGAGTCTTTGAATTTAGTGAGCCTTGAGAGCTTATTCAAGATCGTTCTTTGTGAGAAGAATTAGAAGCTTTCAGAAGGAAGTGTACTGCCAGTCGAAGAGAGTTCGCTGCATAGTTTTAGGACGAGTAGTGCTCGCTGGACAAGGCCACTAAGAAGATTCATCACAGTGACGACATGATTAAGGAGAGAGTCTTTGAATGTATAAGACCGAGAAGTGTTTGTAATCATTCTATCCTAGTGGATTGTTCATTGTCTGGGCGTGTCTCTGTAGAGTAGGTTGTTTAACTGAACCGCGATACCATTTTCTGGTGTTCTTTATTTTTCTAGCATTAGTTTCTGCACGTTCAGTTATTTGTTGTTGAGTTCAGAAATAATTATTAATCACCAGTGTTACTGAAAGTGTTATAACACTCTTTGTAATATCTCCATAAAAAACAAACCTTTTAATAAAGAAGAACCATCAAGTGACAACTTATGTAGGACCAAGAGACTAGAGATAGAAAAATAATATCACTAGCAATTAAAAAGATAAAAAAATAGCAAAATAGAATTTTATAGAGAACAAGAACTCAAGAAGGAAAATTAAGAATCTCAATATTCAGTTATCAAATCACTAAGAGGATGTTTGGTTCATAGATTCAGAATTATGATTCAGAATTATGATTCAGAACCATTCTCGTTTTA